AGATTTACAAAACGATATGAAAACTAACCGGACTTTGGATCCCGTCATTTGACCTAGTCATTTGATCGTTAGCGATTTCACAAGTTTAATTTGTTTTCTAATCGTCATGTAAATTTAGCATTTTTGTTTTTTTGTTTTTTTGTTTTTTTGTTTTAGACTAGATTTACAAAAAGATATGAAAACTAACCGGACTTTGGATCCTGTCATTTGACCTAGTCATTTGATCGTTAGCGATTTCACAAGTTCAATTTGTTTTCTAATCGTCATGTAAATTTAGCATTTTTGTTTTTTTGTTTTTTTGTTTTTGTTTTAGACTAGATTTACAAAAAGATATGAAAACTAACCGGACTTTGGATCCTGTCATTTGACCTAGTCATTTGATCGTTAGCGATTTCACAAGTTTAAATTGTTTTCTAATCGTTATGTAAATCTAGCATTTTTGTTTTTTTTTAGACTAGATTTACAAAACGATATGAAAACTAACCGGACTTTGGATCCCGTCATTTGACCTAGTCATTTGATCGTTAGCGATTTCACAAGTTTAATTTGTTTTCTAATCGTCATGTAAATTTAGCATTTTTGTTTTTTTGTTTTTTTGTTTTTGTTTTAGACTAGATTTACAAAAAGATATGAAAACTAACCGGACTTTTGATCCTGTCATTTGACCTAGTCATTTGATCGTTAGCGATTTCACAAGTTTAAATTGTTTTCTAATCGTCATGTAAATTTAGCACTTTTGTTTTTTTGTTTTTTTTTTTTTGTTTTAGACTAGATTTACAAAATGATATGAAAACTAACCGGACTTTGGATCCCGTCATTTGACTTAGTCATATGATTGTTAGCGATTTCACAAGTTTAAATTGTTTTCTAATCGTCATGTAAATTTAGCACTTTTGTTTTTTTGTTTTTTTGTTTGTAAATTTAACATTTCCCATTAAGCAGTTGCTACATTTCCCATTGCCGCTGCTTTCAACAAGCGTTCTTTATTTGTCGGTTTTGGTTGTTGTGTCTATGGTGTTGGTGCAACATTTCCCATTAAGCAACTTTATTGAAGAGGAAGACCACAAAGATTGATATTCCCTTCAAAAGATGATTTAAGTTGTCCTCCAAACTGTGTACTCTTTGGTATTTGGCCAGTGAGTTTGTTATGAGACATATCAATATATCCCAAAAACGTGACTACGTGAGTAATTTTAGCTGTTGAGGAATGTTTCCCGAAAGTTGGTTTCGAGATAGGTCCAGTGACTCGAGTTGTGTGAGTTTGGCCAAAGACGATGGAACATGACCTGTGAATGTTAGATAAGTCCAACACAATCAACGACTTCAAGAGACCCATTAAAGCTAGTTCCATCAAGACTTCAACTGTTTTTGACGAGATACGCGTTTCAGCTTGCGATTCAACTGTTTTTGACGAGATACGCGTTTCAGCTTGCGATTCATTCTTTGTGGGCAGAAAGAAACAATCGAAAACATGGTGAAAATCATGGTGAAAATCATGTGCCATCGACCAATCTGGTCCAAAGACTAGACGAGCAAATTCGCAATAGGATATCTTCCATTCGCGAAAGGGATAGAAGACGAGCAAATTCGCAATAGAAAAGCTGGAGAGAAAGACACAACACAAGAAACAAGAGATGGAGAAAACAGGCCAAAGCGGTTTCACCAACGGAAAATTAAAGAATTAGCTTGAAACAAAACAAGAGATTGAAGGAGAAATTTGGTATACTGTACATGATTTGGTTTTGCAGCCAAACCACCTATAACGATGATAAGATTCACAAGAATCAACGTCAAATTGCTAACTTCAGACAAGATACAATCAATTACTGAGGACAAAGTATGGACTAATACCATATTGGACATGGACTTAGAGGTCACTGGTCCTCATAATAAATACAAATAAGATATTTCCACAGTCTAGCTAGAGAAACGTAGCAACCAATTATTAATCAAAACCAGAGTCTTCTGAATCATTGAGTCAACCTCAAGAAGAATTTGTGTAAGATCAAAATTTGATGATATGTTGAGTAGGTGAGGTGAGCAAGATTAGATTAAAATTTCTGATAATAGTTTGCTAGATAAAGAAGTACCAATAAAGGATTCATACATATCAGTCTGCTTCCATCTCAAGAAAAAAGTTCCATCAGCTTAGTCAGAGTCCGAATCAGGATCCGGGCTAGGCAAGTCAATCTCAATGGAGGTGGATTCACAAATATTTGTAGCTTGGACAGATGATCCCTAAGGTGATACAATACAAAACATTGAAAGGAAAGAGATGTTATTAATATAGGTAATAAGCAAGAGACAGAACTAATATTGGAGGAGGGTGCAAGAGTAGAATTTACCTCTTCTTTAAACTCCTGATTCACAGGATTAGCTATAGACACAATTTTTTCTCCATGAGATATATCATCAGAATCATGAAGCTCTCTTCTACTATCATCCAAACTATACAAAAAAAAAAACAAACAAGATTAAACATTATTTTTTAGATGATTTATGAATACAAAAACCCTTAATATTATTAGATCATCCACCTGGTGGCCAAAGCAGCGGTATCAGAGCTCCTCGTTATGGTTATCTCATCTTGGTGCATCTTAAACTTAAGTTCCGAGACAGAGGTAGCAGAGTATCTTCTTCTCAAAGGAGATCGAGATCGATATCGCCATTCATTCACCCTCCGTGGTGTCGCTCTCATTTTGAGCGGAGGAAGTTGATCCCCAAGGAAACCAGAAATGGCGTCTTCAAGATTCCAGTCGAAGCCTTCAAGGTAGTAAAATGCTGCATCTTTACATGCAGACGTTACCTTGCAGAACCTAGTGACATTATTATCTTCCTCCATGGTGTCTTAGGGACTTTTCTCAGAGATTTATCTTGTTATGACAATCAGTAATAATCTCACTTAGGTCTATTAACAAAAGGTTTCTAAGAAACAGAGAGAGCTATTTAGGGAAGTAGTTACGACTACGACTTTGTCATCACGAGAATCAACAAACCACTGATGATACGGTCTTGTTTTGTTTTCCACTAAAAGAATTATTTATTACTGTTCGTCTTCTCATGAGTGAAGAAATTTCAAGCCCAAGTTAAACAAGGAAAAAATACAAAAATTTCGCCATCGGAATATATTTTAGCCGGTTTGTTTTGGATCGATTGTGAGAGAGCAATACTGAGTCCAAAATCGAAAGATCTTGGTAACGACATGGACCAATTACATCCTATATCACAAATAAATTTGCTTCCTCTCATCATCTCAATTGTGATTGTAATTGCAAGTGTGAACACATTCGTTCTCTCATTCTTCCATCAAGGAAACTGATTTGGGACGGTGAATGCTCTCACAGCCAGGACAGTTGTGTAAGCTCTCGTGGATGTATATGTCACAGTCCAGACAGAAATAGTGCTTGCATTTACGACATGTTACACATGGGCCGGGTTTATTTCCTGCGCAAAAACAAAAGCACCAATGAGCCTTTATTTTCAAGTAAATGGCTCCGTTGATGAGCATACACAAGTTCCTTTGTGTATACCTCAACAAGGGTGAACTATGCGTATCTAAGTTCAATTACGGGTCTAGTGACACTAGTGCTAAGAAACATGTATGAAGACTACCTAAGTGATGTTCAAGTATTTACCTGCACCAATTAGGCTCTGTTGGCAACCAAAACAACTTTTTCCCAATTTTCTCCGATTATCATTCAGACTTGAAAGAGCAGGCACCTCATCAAATGGAGCAATTGGGAAGAGATGATGGTATGATCTCGCTAAATGTGGTGATGAAACAAGTGTTAGACCGCAAATAGTGCATTCCGTAGGGAGGTCACATACCCGAGCTTTGCATCTCGGGCACATGTAACCAGCTCCAATCTTAACTTCCTTATGGCACGAACAGATTGCCATTGAACCCTCAGCAGCTCTCTGTGGGAAACCCATCTTGATCAAATTTGCAATTGCAAATTCTGCTATTGCCGGAGGTGGAGGCGCATGTTCGAGCAGAAGATCCTTTAGATGCACCTGCGTGAGAAGACAAATACAAACAAAGCACACTATTATACAAAACAGTTTTTTCAAAGGTACAAGGCGCAAGTAGAAGGTAGCTAAACTCACCTCGTCCACTGCAACTGAATACAATCCGCCGGTTTCCTGGCAGAGGTGTTTACATATAAACATTTCTGCAGACAGCCCAATTACAGAGCATCTTAATTTGGATTTCTTGCATTTTTGAATGGTCTCCATGATATCTCCTGGATCACATGTGCATAGAGCTGAGTACAATATCAGAACCTCACGATGACCATAAGATGGAACCTGGTTGAGATGCTCATGTACAAGTTCCAGAGCGTTCTGCAAAGAGGAGTCACCCAAGGCTTCCAACTTTCCCATCAACGCTTTGATGTGAGTCTCAGGACTACCACCAAGATCTGTTAATGTATGCGCAACTCCATTTTTTATAGAGACCAAACCAATTTGACTCAGAGGATTCTGGTCAAAGAACTCTCTAATGAAAGCTTCAACATGTTTGGCCATTATGGCCATCCGGCTTGGTCTGAAATCCATTTCTGCAGCTGCCTAGACACGACAAAACAGGCCAAGTGTAAGACTTTGCATATCTTGGAACTGGAGAAATTAGAGCCCAAATCATAATGTTGCCTTCAATAAAGAAATCTGAATAAGGATCACATCCATATGCTCTAAAATCCCACTAAGATCCATATGCGCTAAAACCCCACTTAGAGTAAGATTATCATTGCAAACAATACAGAGCGAACTATAGAACCTATTGAGAAGACTAAAGAGCAGAGATCTCCTAAACTCAGCCGACGATTCAAAAGTAAAGCAGTGTACACTATATACTACCCCAAAGCAACATATGCACAACTCAAAGGATACAGCATTCAAGCTAAAATTGCATAGAAATATATACCCGAGAGAAGTCAATGACGATGTAGAGATAGCGAATAAGCCCCTTTTGGATGCGAGTACCAGCAGCAGCGGCGGAGAGCATACGGAGACGGCGGCGATACTGAGCATGGTAAATGGCACTGTTATCAATTGGGCGTAAAAGTCCAGACTCATCCTCTTGCAACTCCTCCCAGGATCTGTCGTCAACATAAGCTCTCTCCCACTCGCCGATACCTTCCGCATCTTCGTCGTCGTCTTCTTCTCTTTCTGCGTTTGATCTCTTTCTTTGATTACTCATCCTTAATCTCACAGCCAAAGAGACCTAATTACAAAAAGAAGAAGAGAACTCTACTGAAACAAAAACAATTACATAAACAACCCTTACTTATTATAACGTTCACAATTTTAACCATAACTTTCTATCGTGTATATTTAACCCACTAATCGGCCGGATCTCTTAATCCATGTCCAATCTCAGAAGTCAGAAGTGAAACATTTTATTTTGCTAAAGACAGTAGGAAACATTGATATTGAAACTCTCATTAAAACTTTATTATACAAAACTTAAATCACTCGATACAACATTTATTTAGCAACATTGAAATTGAAACTTCTTAGTTCTTACAGCACAATTTGATATTTTACCTAAGATCTTATTCCATCTTACATACATATAGAACTTCCTGTTTGGTTTTCTCTACACATGTTATCCACAGTCTCAGCCTTTTAAGATTTAGGTCCCAGAATTTTCGAAAGCTCCTTCAAGATTGGTTTCTCCTTCAAAGTACTACCACCGTCATTATCAATATGCCACTTCTTTGACATGTTTCCAGCCTGAAATTTATAGTCTTTTCGGGTTAGTATTAATGATTCTGACTCAATTCTGTTGAGAAGGTGCAAGCATCTTTGTAAAACATTACCCAAGTTCTTAAGGGCTCTACTTGTTCCTTCATCGACTCCAGTTTTGGCTGAAAAAGATCTTTGCCTTTCGTTCTTATGTCATCGGTCTAACAGAAAGAAAATCGTACAATAAACCAAGTAAGAAGATGATGGCATTCAAGATCAGTCAATAGAGCTTACAAATGCGAATATAAATGATTTAAGTAAGAACATGAAAACATACTAAATCTTACATTATGCATGTCAAGTTTTGAGGCTGCCGTTCCAAAGACCAAAGTGGCAGAGCCAAAGATGATAATAGTAGCGGCTGCAAATGCCTTTCCAACTGCGAAAACCAGAAAACAATTCAGTGGACTGCAAACTTTCCAAACACTCCACGACATCAATAACATTAAAAGACAATAACAGATTCTGAATCTACCAATATTATCAACAATTTCCAGGCTGTTAGAGATACTTATATTATTTGTCATCAGAGTCAAAAACAGACACCCAGAAAGCAGTTATTACATAACACATTCGTGAACCCTAACCCTAAGCCACGGATAACTTTGGCTTTCATAACCAAACAAAACAAATAATCTCTAAGTAAGCTGGAACCTGATCAGAATTACTGCCATTACAGTCCCTAACAGGGTAGTTTGGGCAAGCAATTTACATGATCAACATTAGCAAAAGCAAGGAAGTAAAAACAGAACATGAAAATATGCAATCCTTCTGTCTCTAGCAAAGAACCTAAATCAAGCCATGTTCTTCTGTGGAATAACTCCAGTATCCACGAATCCAAGTTCAAAATATTGATTTCCAGGTAAACAAAAGATGAGAAGTGAACATACTATGTTGAAGGCCTTCACCAGCAGCTTTCAATTTCTCAGGATTGACAGGAGTGCCGTATCTGTCTCTCCTCAATTCATTAGCTGTTGACGCCAAAACCGAATTCTCAGATTCTGGTAGATCCCATCTGCGATAAAATCGACACAAATTACCAACAAATCGATGATAAAAATTCAAAATTTTGAAATACCCATCAAGTGAAACAGAGTATAAAACCCTAATTCCGATCAAGTTTGTACCTTCTGCGTCCGAATGTGACCTGAGGCAGAGATACATAACCTCTGAGAGGATTCAAGACGTCAGGGGAAATAGAAACTGAAGCGTTTGGGTCGGATTCAAGAGCCCATTTGGAGAATTGGGAGAGAGACGAAGGATCAGGTGGACGACCATAGATTTTAGAAGGAAGAGAATGGCGTAGAATCTCCGGAAGAACGTCAGGTTGAATTTCCGGTGGATCCGCCGGAGAAGATGGAAGCTTTTTCCCGGTGGCCGGAGATTTCTCGGCGAGACGATTAACGGCGTGTTTGGATTCTTGGAAAAAGTAGGCAGCTTCTTTTCCCGCGAGTCTCCCTGCTGCAAGAAAACTCATTTTCTTTTGTTGTTTAGTTTCGGTTGATTAGTCTCGTAGCTTCTATTTATACACATATTAACCTCTTCGGTCTCAAATATCCATAAAAAGATATGATTTTTTAATCAAAAATAAATAAATTAAGGATTAAAAAACGATTTCCCAACCTTGGAGATCACGGTTGAAGAAGGAAGAAGATGGATTGGATCAATTCCACTTTCTTGGAGAGAAGCTCTTTTTGACTTTTTAACCAGAGGTTGAAGAAAAGAGACCAACTTTACTTTCTTAACAAGTTAAAATCAATCAATGGCCACAGCCCCAAAGCAACGATTCTGATTCAAATAAACCATCAACCATATCTCCTCAACAAAATGACCAGCTCAAACAGATTACTTTTAGTCTCAGCTGAATGCAGACTTTGAACAAGTGCTGTATAAACCGTATCATCTATTTTGTACCCTTTCTTTTTCATCTCGCCATATAGTTCAAATGATTCATTCGATTGTCCAGCCTTGGACAAACCTGAGATCTTTGCGGTATACCTTACAACGTTTTGGACTAAACTCTTTGAACACATTTCATCAAAGAGCCTTGTTGCTTCATCCACATTACCAGAAATGAATTCCCCGAGTATGAGCGACGTGTAAGTATATGAATCAGGAACCATCCCCTTGTCTTCCATTTCGTCCTTAGTTTCCGTGCTTCCTTTAATATCCTTAGCTTGCAGTACGCATTGATCATCACATTGTAAGTGACAACATTAGGTTGTTCTCCCTCAGTGCCCATCACTTCAAATAGCATCTTGGCTCTTTAAAAATCCCTTCTTTGCAGTAAATATCGATCAAGTTAGTATAACTGACCGTGTTACGCTTCACACCACTATCAATCATCGTGAACAACCACTGCTTTGCCTCACCATATTGTTCGATTTACCTAAACAACTAGCAACCGTGTTATAAGTAAAAGCATCAGCTTGAAACCCTTTCTTCTCCATCACATCATAAATCCTTAATGCATCATCGATACTCCCCTTTTTGCAGTAACCCTTAATCAAAGCATTGAACACCACCTGAGTAATGTTAACTCCACAGCTCTGCATCTCTTCAACTAACATCTCAGCCGCACTCTTTCCCATAAGTGCGACTACTCAGTGAAAAATCCTTCTCTATCAATTCATCAAACAACAAAATTGCTCTTTTGACATTCCCCTTTCTGCAATGCCAACTTATGAGAGAAGTGTGCACATGTATATCTGTTTCTATTCCTCTCTCACGCATTTCGTCAAACAGTTGCTTTGCATCAACCAATTTCCCATTACTCATATCTAATCCGAATCGTATATGTAGCAGCGTTATACGCCACGTTCTCATTCTTCATCACCTTCAGAATCTTTTCTACAGCCAAAAAAATCTCTCTTTCCGACATAAGCATTGATAATGGTGTTGTAAGTATAACTCCTTCTTCATCACCTTCAGAAACCGACGCAGGTTTCAGTAGGAAGATTAGGCTCGAAGAGAACGAGTTGGGTGGATTACATTGGAATTTAGGGTTAAGAGAAGCGACGGATTCGATTCAAGTACCCTGATACCGGATTTTGACAAAGACTCTGTGATCTTTCTCTCTGTTTCTAAGTCAGTAGTAAGAACTGGAGATCTCTGTTTCTGTCTTAGGTCATTGCACAACCGCGAGAGTTTCGAGAAGTCAGGTTTCGTATCTTTGTTCATGATTCGTCACATAACCCAAAAAAAAAAAAAAAAAAATGTAAACAGAACTGATAATTCTTGCCGACGACGGCGAGAGAAAGATTTTCGAGCCTCTCGCCTTTGGCGCAAACGAAACGGCGTCGTTCTAACTCAACATCTAATTTTTATTTATTTTTTGGGTCAACAACACACAATCTTGAGAAGAAAAGCATTAATTGCCAATTAATTACGTTTTGGGCCAAATTTGATCAAACAAAACCATTAATTATTGAATATCATTTGTTTCTCGCATCTTTTTTTGTTCACCGATTCAAAAGAAATAAGATGAACTAAAGATGTATGTACAATAAATATATCATGCTCTATCTATCATCTTTTAAACATCAAAGTATTGAGAAAGAGAATGGAAAAAACAAAAACAAAAAGATTGGATAATAAATCCTACATTAACATATGTGTAATAGATTTACATATGTGAGATATCTCTGTGGTTAAGAAAACAAATAGAGGAGAGAGAGTGTTTAGAGAAACTAATTATCTGTCTTCATCGCTTGTTGTGCAAAGGGTTTGATCCCGTCTTTACCTTCCGTTTATCCGGTAGGATTTCGCCGGCGTCGACGACCGGAAGAGTGTGTTGAGAAGGGATAAACTCTCTGTCTTCACCAGAAGGTTTGGAGGAGAAGCGTTGTCTTTCGACATGGATTCTTGAAGCTTTGGATAGAACAAGGAGGAAGAGAAAAACAATGAGACAAAGAAGACGACGACTCGGATTCATATTTTTATTTTTCATAAGAAAACAAAAATATTTTCTTGAGAATGTTTTTTTTTTTAGAGAGATTTTTGGTATATGATTATGAGAAACAAGGTGTGATGCACAAACTTCCATATGTGTTGTTGCGAGTGTGTATATATTTGCATTTTATTTAGGGATTAGGTGTAGACATATATGGTCCACTTCATAAAGTTTCTTCTTTGTCAACATTAATTTTATATTTTACAATATTCAAGGTTTTTCTTGGGTAATTAATGAATATACAAGTTTGAGGTCCAATTTAGTAAATACATTCTGTGAGTCAAAATACTAAAGATTCTATAACTATAGGTGGACTAAAACATGTAGTGTAGTAACTTGTATTAATGTCGTTTGGATTCAAACATGCATAATACATATTGTTGTCTTTATTATCACAATAGTTGATTATAAGAAGAAGAAAAAAAAAGTATTTAAAAAGCCATACTACTTTAGAGTACTTTTACAAATTTCCCCTTAATAAACTTTGATTATGATTATATTTTTTTCAACAAAAAAGTGGGAGATAATCAAGTTGTACAAATTTATATTTACAAAATTTACAAAAACATAACTGTGGAACTGTCAGTAACTTGGAATGGGGAGGATCTGATAAATACAATGGTGAACGGTGAACCCCACTTCCCACCTAAAAATGGCCGGTTTAAAAGTGAGTATTGATTATAGATGCTACGATTTGAAATTTAACTCAAATGCAAAATAAATATCAAGTAGCATTTAATGTGCAAGGTCACATATACACATGCACATACATCAATACATGTTTGAAGTTCACATACATACACATATATAGGTAGATACTATAAATTTTACCATGTAGTTTGCACGGATAATATTCCAACTTTTGCAACAAAAACAAATTATTAATAACTAAAGGGAAGTTTTTGTAATGATAAATTTTCTGATTAGTCTTCAGTCTTCACATATGAAACGTAAAACATAATTTTTTTTCCTTTAAACATATCAGTTTGATACTTACGCGTGAATGTAATGAAGCTTTTTAAGTTTAAAGTATTCGTATGCAGAATGATGAAGCTTTGAATAGCGACATGATTTGTATGAATATCATTATCAACAATATGGAAACACAAGAGACAAAGTTGCTTATAAAGTTACATTTTTTCTGTTGACCTTTTTGAAATGTGACCGGAAATTTTCTGCTTTCTTTTTCTCCACAGACTAATTCAAAAGTCATGATTATCAATAATAGAATAAAACCTACGTTTTAAAATATTTTGACTAGTGAAAACGACTTTGGTCTAATGGTCGATAAATAGAGTATAATATTATATATCTCATGTTTAACTTTAAAACCGACTATAGATAGCCTAATTCTCAACATCTCATCATGTCAAATATTGAACTGTTCGTGGACCTCGTGGTGGTTATATACTGTGGTCTGTGGATAAAAATTAAAATTGTTTTTTTTTTTTCGTAGTCTGCGGCTGATATAATATTATTTTCTTGACTACCGAAGGTTGCCGACCATGAATGAAACATTGGCCAATTTATTGGATTTGGGGCTTTAAGACTTTCTGGCCCATCCAATCCAAATCTGTTAAGGTAGTTTTGTTGACCAAAACACTGTTTCAACAAGGCATCAGTATGATATGATGATTATGAACGTACTGAATCCTTGGGCAATGATAATGTGTCTGATGGTCAATTTGATGTATTTGGGTTATTTTGCGAGTGTTTTCTATAAGCATCTAATTTGTGATTGTTTTGTTGAAAAGTATAATAATAGTTTTTTGTTAAAATCCAATTCACAAACAATTACACGAGTGGTTTGTAACTAAGATCCTTTTGCTGATCTTTGGGGTTTCTTAAGCAACCTAAACATTGCTTTTGGGTTTAACATTTGACTTGGTGGCTCCTTCTCTCCATCCTTTTTGGCGAGCTCTCTCTTCCCACTTAGATGTCAGCTTTTTCTGCTCGGCGAGTGCTAATTCTGCTTTTTCCCGAGCTTCTTCGCATGTTTCCATACCCGAGTTGCACTTATCTGCTTCCTTTTGGTATGAGGAAGTAACCTTCTTGGCCTCTAAAAGCCCCATGTCTGCTCGTTTGTGTTTCTCTAAAGATTCCGCTTCACGCAGCTTCAGTTCCTCGGTTAGAAGTTCAGCATAGTTCTTCTCAGTGTCTTCGTTGACCTCTGGATCGTGCTTTGCACAATCTACACATTTAAAGTAAGAGATGTTTGATACAAAGACTCTATTGCTAAATAATTTAAAAGATTTTTTTTAACTGATGCAGTTCAAGAAATACCCTTCACAATTAACTCACCGGCGAAAGAAGCATTACTGAGTTCTGCAAGAAGAAAGGAAACAAGTAAATAAAGATCAATCTTTTAGATTTGGTAACATACGAAAAAGAATATAAACTCAGCTTAGCGAGAAACATATAGTCACTTAAGAAATCTGTCACAACAAGCAATACAAACCATGAATTTCAACTGATACTACAGTCTTCTTTGGTTTCACTCCAAACAAATTTACAAATTCTATGAATCAAATCGGTCTAAAAGCAAAAACAATGCATACACTCCAAACAAACTGCATTGTTTGTTGATTTGCTATGACCAGAACAGTAGCCAGTAAACTTCAACTTCCACAATCCGAGAAATTTACAAATCATAACCTGAACCACTAATGCTATTGTTTAACTCAAACAATAGGAGAATCAACACTCTGGACAAATAACTGAGATAATCTTTTTATGAAGGACAGCACCTAAAACGAATGAAACACAATTCATGTAGGTCTACACTTACTTAGTACACTAATCATCTCAGATTCAAACTAGCACGAACCAAGCTCAAAAGCATGCAAATTCAGTAACTTCAGCACCAGAAAAAAGAAAATAAAGAACCAAAACTTCAAAAGCCAACTAATACCAATCCTTATTTCCACAAACAGATACAACGCCAAATTTTGATATAAAGTTGCTAAATTCATACATCACTCTACAAAAAGGAGTAAACTTTACCCACAGATCTAGCAAGATTGTAATCATGGACACAGATCAAGCTTCAAACAAAATTCTGTTTACCTTTGGGAATCGTGATAGCGGAATAGGGAGAGCACTCACAGGGGCAGGAAGGACAAGAGGAGGTGGAAACGGCGGCCAAAGCCTCAGTGAGATGCCAGTAGAGAGGCGGACCAAGTATGTAACCAGTCATGCTCAGCCCCAGTAAAGCTAGACCGATCTTCAGCGCCGCCGCGTGTCTCGCCATTTTAACACTAGATCCGCCGATCTGGGTCTTCGTAAAGATTAGATTTCTCGGCGAGTGTGAAGAAAAACCTCGAAGAGAGATTTTAGAGCTGTCTGAAGCTGAGACGACGCTATGTAGAAAAATCGGTGGTAGAGATTTTGACACACTTTTGACTCTTTTGCTCTCTAATAATTTCGTCGACAGTTAATAATAATAATAAGCGTGTAGATTTAAATTTTAAGTGTAAGTTAGCCATTTCCGACTTAGTCGGTTTGGTCTGATTTGAATTGGTTCGGTTCAGGAAAATATGAAATAAGTAAAACTCTCTGTGTTTTGGACCTTTGGTTATAGCGTAACTCCAACTGAAACCTTAGGTTAAATGCGCTTTGAGTTGCTCTTGGCCCAACACGTTTGTGTAGAATCTCTGACCCGTTTGCCCGTAGACATTAGAATAAGACTGACTATCAGGGCCCGTCCGGAGGGTAGGCGACGTAAGCGGTCGCTTACGGCCGCCTGGTTTGAATCTTAGAAAAATTTGATTACACGTAACATGATCCCATTATATGTTCTGGTTTATTATATTTTTTTAATGTAAATGTTTTGTTATTTTTTATCTGTTTCTGTCTAGATTTTTATATTTTAGAGTTTAAGTCATGCATATAGAAAAGTGGCCATATAGTTCTATTATTTATTTTTGTTTATATAGATGTATGAATAAGTTTAACTAATGTGTAAAAATGGTAGCTTAAATATAAACTGTATAATTCTTTGTGTAATCCATAAAAACACTAATACATCTATCATCTAAATTAAATTCAAATTGATTAAATAGCTTAGTGTTTTATTTATACTACTAATATCATTGTATCATAATTAATATTTAAATTAAAAAAAAAATCTGTTTAGGGCACTCAAAATGTTTGGACCGGCTATGCAAGTTTGCTCATACCGTCATACGTAAGTTTATCTGTTTTGACAAGTAAAAACCCTAAAACGCTAGTATTGTTTTGGTTGCTTTCGATGGCAGAAGCCAAAATTGAAGAGATCGGTTGTGAAGACAGGATCAGTGCTCTACCGGAAGATGTACTCGTAGAGATATTGGATCTTCTCCCGACAAAAGACGTAGTAGCCACCATGATTCTGTCAAAACGATGGCTGTCGATTTGGACGATGGTAAGGACACTTGAGTATAAAGAAGACATGGATGATGAAAGCAAGAAGAGCGTTTGGTGGTTTCTTAACAAATCATTGCAACTCCACAAGTCACCTGTAATAGACAGCTTGTGTATTGAACTTGGTCCACAGTGCCCTACTACTGATGATGTTGATATCGGAAAGTGGGTTGCAAAAGCTGTTGATTGTTTGGTGTGGACGCTAACAATCAAGCTCCTCTGGTCCGCAGGTCCAACCAGCTTGCCCAAGAGCCTTTACTCTTGCGACACTCTTTTTGAACTGACTCTCTCCGACCAGATTCTCGTGAATGTTCCTTCTTCTTCTTCCGCCTATCTCCCATTCCTTAGCGATCTCGAACTAATCCGTGTTGTGTATAAAGACGAGGATTCTCTCGTTACCTTGTTATCGAGCTGCCCTGTTCTTGAGACCTTGTTCGTGAAAAGGAAAATAGATGACAATGTGAAAAAGTTTACCATCAAAGTGCCTTCTTTATTGTACTTGTGGTATATTAATGACTCGTCTGATGTAGTAGACTATACTGATAGGTGTTTGGTTGTAGATGCTCCTGCAGTGAACACCTGTCGAATCACCGATTATTCACTAGACTCTTTCTCCATCGAGGATATGCCCTGTCTCCAGGATGCAAATATCAATGTTGAAGAGTCTTATCATCCGGATGACAAATTTCTAACTTCTTTTTCTTCAGTCTTGTCTCTTCATTTGAATTTGTCTGATGCAATGGTATCTCTCTAATTTTATCTCGTTGTGATTCCATTTCTGCATCTACCTACTTACTTAAGTTGTGCAGGTTATGCGTTGTACCAACGTCAACTTCTCTCGACTTATAAAGTTAAGCATATGTCCGTATGGACCAGACATGTTGGAAACACTCCTACTTTTACTTAAAAATGCTCCAAAACTAAAAGAGTTTTTGGTAGATTATGTACGTATCATCCTCCTCCTCTTCTTGCTTTAATGGACTAAAATCTATACTAGTCAAATTTTTGCTAACCATATTGCCTTCATTGCTTCTCAGAAATTTGTCTATCATCCCGAGGATCTCCCATGGTCATGGAAACAGCCGAGTCATGTTCCCGAATGCTTGTCATCACAGCTCGAGATATTCGAGTGGAGAGAATATGGGGATAGAATAATAGAGGAAGAATTCTTGACATACGTTTTAGCCAACTCTAAGCGTTTAAAAACCGCAACAATCTCCCTGAGGTTAAATCTTGAAGATCCAGAGTTGATCATCGAGGAGTTAAAAGATCTTCCTAGGGTTTCAACAACATCTCACCTTTTGTTCAAATGAAAAGTCTAGAGAAGCTCAGTGAATAAGCAAGCCTTATCTGCTATAAGATACCCCAAAATGATTGATCTTCAAGATTTTTTTATTCTTTCTTTTAAAGTAAAAACACTATTTACGGTTTCTTGATAGTGTTCCTTTTTCCCTGATACTGGACAAGTTGCAGAGCGCCTAGTTTCCTAGTTTACAGTCTTAACATCTTATGGTGTTTAATTGTTTATTCATATATTTATGCTGGCTCGCTCTTAATGAGTTTTTCTTTCAGCATCATAAAACAAATTTTGGGTTTAACTCGCTGCTGGCCCTCTGTTGTTTGGAATCTTACTTAGTACTTGAAATTGTATGGGGAAAAAACAACCAATGTTATTTTGCGTTCATTTTGTCTGCTTGTCTTCTTCAAGTGTGTATGTCAACGTCTGTGCTTCTTGCAATCACAAGAGAAGTTTTGTTTTGGCACCAGCATTATGAAAAGTATTTCTGTCTTCTATCTGTCCCGCGTGGTTCATGGTAATAATGTCTTCTTCGGTTCTGAAATTTTGATATCGGTTATCAGGAAGGCATGGTGGAGTTCTGAGGTACCAACTTAGCCATCAGAGACAAGGTTCTGGACTTTTGTGAATATTGGAAAATGGTCAAGCCTCTTTGGACAGCTGATGTGAGGAATATCGAAACATCATAGTAAATGGATTAAGTGGTTTCTATAGTAGTCATCGTTATACTTGTCAACATTCGTCTAAAGTTAACCTTATACTGTGGGCAGATAACAAACAAAATAAGTGTTTGGTCATCTCAAGTCTCAAGTCTCAAAATTAATCATGATAATTCCGTTTGGTCATCTCAAGTCTCAACATATCCATTACCATTATTAAAATTATCATATATACATATTCTAGTTCCAATAATTTTTAGATTGAACTAGGAAAAAAAAAAGAACGAAAGCTTGGAAAGAAAAAGCAAGTCTCTCATCCTCTATAAAATATTCCATTTATCTCATTCTTGTGTTTCCACCACAGTGGTGCATTTGATATCTTTGGCATGAGGAATGTCTAAGTGGTTTGTCTACTTTCCTCTGTTTTTGTTCGTTTGCAGATCAAGAGGCTTCATCTTTTGCTTACTGTCAACGAGTCAGCTATAGATGTTCCATCCAACTTGGAAGCTCGAAGGCGTCTTACTTTCTTTTCAAATTCACTATTCATGGACATGCCTGCTGCACCCAAGATTCCCAACATGCTTTCCTTCTCGTAGGTTCCAGGCACTTTCAACTTAATTTATGGTCGTCTTCTCATAGGCTTACTATATCTTAACATCTTCCATTTTGCGTTGTCATAGGGTCCTTACACCATACTTGCGTTGATTGATAGGTTTGATAGTTAAGCACAATAAATGACCACACCTGTTTCTTTTTGTTGATGATGAGGGATTTTGGGTTTCTTTGATCTTAAGCATAAAGGACAAGCTAACATAACCCATGTCGGGGATGGCTTTGCATTTAGAAATCTTAGGTGGGGTTTTCGTGTTCTTTTACTTGTGTGTTACCCGGATTTAAAATCATCGACAACACATATTTACTTAAGTAAAGAGATCTTCTACCCGCAATTTGTGACAATCAACGTAAATATGTGTGCCGCATTTATGGTAGAAGGGACAGTTCCCTGCAAGAGAACCTATAACCATACTCGGCAAAATTAAGGAAAACACTCTAATAGGAAGCAACTGATTCATGACAAAAAGCAAAACTATAAAAACCTTTCAAAGAACATTTGCATCAGGCTGTTACAATGCATTTTATCTCTCTGTAGTCACCATCCCGACATCAGGACACATGACATATATGTTTTCTTGGGAGGTTTGATTGATGGCTTTGATTCCCTCATCAGATCCATCAAACTGTCTCTCAAAACAACTGCAATGTTCATCAATGCGCGATAAACTCAATTGCTCGATATCCATGTCAGAACAAGCATTCATACACACTACCAAAACCAACAGCTCGATCATGAAGTCTACAAATCACATGTTTTTACTCGTGTGAGAACAAGCACACATAGACATTCACTTAAAACTCGGTGCCCTAAATGAACAAACCATTCAAAATCCAATCACTGCAGTCCGAGAGACTTGGCGCCGATACGGTTGAGATTATTTTTCTCTCTGGCGATTCTTTTTCTCGCTTTCTCTTGAGCTGACTTTTCTGCCTTCTCTGCTTTTTTTCTTGCCGCTACAGCTGCAGCAGCTGCGTCACTTTCCTGTCTCCTCAGCTGAGCTTCCGCTGCAATCTTCTCTGCTTCAGCTCTCCTCACTTCTGCCTCCATCTCAGCTTCCATTCTCATCACTAGTGAGAAGCAATCATCCACCATCTCTGGAGCTTTGCACATAGAAGAAGCAAGCCTTGACATCAACTTGAGAGGCAGCTGAGGTTTAAGAAACAAAAGCGAAAGTGTTTAAGTGATTCACTCTCAGTTCAACTGTGAGCAAAATTAGAAAGTGTTTCACAGCTTACCTTGTTATCCGAGTCAGAGGGCTGGCTCCAGCCTGCTCGTTTAAGGCGGTCGAGGAACTCAGCGATGTAGCTACAAACAAAACAAGCATAAAAAGAATAACAATCATCTGCAACCCAAAAAAAAGAATAACAATCATCTGCAACCCAAAGAAAAGACTTACTTGTGAGGGAAATTGTTGGCCTGAGACTCAGCAAAAGAACGAAGATCGGCTCCATCAAGGGAGGAGAATGTAACCCAGAACTGATGGATAGACTTTTCTATCACAGAGAGATCCCAAGGAGGTATCGCAGAGAGCTTCTTGCGCTTTTTGTCTGCCTTCTTCTTCACACGTTTCTCCAAGTCATATATGGAGCAGATGTACTGATCAGGATCAGCAAACAAGGCAACAAGTCTTGCCATAATTTTCCTAGGAATCTATAAAGGAAAAACCAGATTAATCGCAACAAACACACACAACAACAAGGACTAACCTAAACGAATCCAACTACACAACCCTACCTCGTAACCTGGATCTAGGTGTCGAGTCCATCTCACACGGTTAAGACCTTCGATCAAACGATCGATGAAGCTACAATGACAAAAGAAATGCATCCGATTCTCAGGCTTAGAACTGAGTGCAATTGATGTTTAGAGAGAGGAAGAGGTGAGTAGGCTTACCTAGGAGGGAACTGATCGGTCTGAGTAAGTGCAAACGCACGGAAGAAACTTCGCTCCGGGAAGAAACGGTCCCAGAACAGTTCCACGGCGTTTTCCAGCAACGAAGTCTCACGGCGATAAGCTTGAGGAACTTCCATGGCGATCGCAAGGAGCTTCTTGCGCTCTCTGTCTGCCCTCTTCTTCACACGTTTCTCCAAGTCATAGATGGAGCAAAGGAATTGGTCAGGATCAGGATCAGCAAACAAGGCAACAAGTCTTGCCACAATTTTCCTTGGAATCTACAGAGAACACCAGAAGATCAATCGCAACAAACACACACAACAACAAGGACTAACCTAAACGAATTCAACTACAGAGGATCCTAAACCCTACCTCGTAACCTGAATCTAGGGGTCGAGGCCATCCCGCACGGTCAAGACGTACGATCAAACGATCGATGAAGCTACAATGACAACAGAAATGGCGATTCTCAGGCTTAGAACTGAGTGCAACTGATGTTTAGAGAGAGGAAGAGGTGATATGGCTTACCTAGGAGGGAAATGATCGGTCTGAGTAAGTGCAAACGCACGGAAGTCACTTCGCTCCTGGAAGAAACGGAGCCAGAACAGTTTCACGGCTTTTTCCAGCAACGAAATCTTACGACGATAAGCTTGAGGAACTTGAGGAACTTCCATGGCGTCGAAGGAATTAGGTCGAGAGAGAGAGATTTTGGGAGAAAAAGAAATTGAAACTGGAGAAGAAATTTAAGAAGCGGGAATTGAAAAAAAGAAGAGAGTAAAATAAAGAAAGAGACGACGCATAACAAAACGGTTACTGCCCCCTTTGCGTTGGATACAAACACGTGGATGATCAAACACGTGTAAGCAGATCCAATGAGCAGTCTTCTTTCGCGTAAAAATCCATAGCTTGGCTCGCTCCTCATGGGATTTGGAATTGAAAGCAACGAGATCTGTTTCTCTTTCTCGGATAGATCCAACAGAAATCAGCCCTTAAGCCCCACGAACAGTAATTCTTCTTAGCCATGGTCGTGGATTGGAGAGTGTTGAAGAATTGAAAAACAAAACCAGAAGAAGAAGAAGAAAAAAGTTGAACACAGAGGCACAGACCTTTGAAAGGAAACGAAAGAAATAAAAATGGTGAATTTAGGTTTTACTAATCAAATCAATCTCTCGTTGCTTTTTTATATCCACTCTTGGGCCAATTTACTCTTTCAAGGCCCATTATTATAATGTTTATAGGCTCATTCGTGTAACCCCACAAGTTTATTGTTCTGAGTCTGCGACATGCCTTAGGCCATACGCAGTGGGATAATTTTCCCTCGGATGTGACTAATAAAAAAAACGAAAATATTGTAATAGTGAGTTTGGAGTCGCAAGTCGAGTGTTATCTTACACCCAAGTGTAAGTGACAGCTGTCACAATTCGGTTGGTTCCAATTTTAATATCGAAAATTTGTTTTATTTTGTTGGGTAAAAATAAAAAAAACGGAGGCAACATCGAGTACTCACCGGAAAATGGATGCCGAAGCTGAAACTGATGTGGTTCGGCCGGTGGAGGACAATTCGTCGGAGGAAACTGGTCCGGAACAAGATCACGGAGGAAGACCAGAGTTGAAACAAGGAGAGATTTTGAGAACCCTTGCAACGGTTGAGAAGGATTCGCAGGCAATCGCGGAAAGCTTTTCGTCTCTCTTTGTTTCCCTCCGATCAACTCTCTCTGAGGTTAGAGTACTCTTCTATGAACTGATTTTGGTTCGTCGCTAACCACATTGTTGCCGAGAAACTTTGATATTTGGGCAAATTAAAAGTCTAGGGTTTTAAATTCATCAATTTCGAACAGTTTTGTGAATTTCTCTTTTCATGTCATGAATTAAGAAACTTCAGGGGCTAGATTGCTTCAGATTACTTGATTCTGGGTCTAGGCGATTTCATCAATGCCTTGTTTAGTTTCTCGTGGAACAAGATCGGTTCTGAAAATAGCATTTGAATTGTTTGTTTTCATGGAAATTGTTTCTTTATCAGGATGCTTTTTTGATTAAGTAACCTCTAACCTTATTTTATTATTAAACTAACACTCACACTCATACACCCACATACACTACTGTGGGTGCTCTTAGTGCAAACGCAAAAACGGCGTCGTTTATAGTTTTACCTTTTATTTGATTATACAATTATTTTTAGGATTAGTAACAATTGTATAGTTTCTTATACAAATATATCGTCCTAGAAAAATTGTAATAAAAATATTTCCCATTTAAAGTTTATCAGAGAATAAACAAAAAAAAATCAAGTAAACCTAATCAGAAATCTTTTATATTTGAATAAATATTTCCCATTTGAAGTAGTTTGGTATGGACGGATCTTGTAAACCGGTTTCGGTACGATTTTACGGTTATTTTTGGTTAAAATTGATTGGGTATGTTGCAGAAGCTTTGCCTCACATGGCAGGTCTCTCCAAATTCATCATCCTTGGATTTTATTGATACAGAGGGGGAAGAGAAGAGAAGACTCATAATCTTCATCTTGAAACCCTAGATTCCTTAACGAAATGGCGATAGAGATCTCAGTAGATCTGATAAACCAACTCAAGGTCTCGCTTCGAAAGGAGGCCAAGCTCTCTTCCGTCGGCGATTACTCGGACTCATCCTCCTCCAGCCTTCCCACATCAGAGGAGGCAATCGCAGAACTTGATGCTTCAGCTCCGTACCTTCGTTGCCGGAACTGCAAAGGAAAACTTTTGCGAGGAATCGAGTCTCTGATCTGTGTCTTCTGCGGAAATCAGCAACGCACGAGTGATAATCCTCCTGATCCCATCAAATTTACCTCCACTTCTGCTTACAAATGGTTTCTCAGCTCTCTTAATCTCCATGGATCGGTAAAATTCGATACCTTTCGCACACATTTTTAATTTACTTGATTTCCTCGCTGATTGTGTATCAGTCAGATGTAGAATGTGGTTTGTTGTGTCTTTAAAGAAACGAAATTTTCATCTGTAGGAGATGGTAGAGCCACTTAAGGAAACGGATGGATCAAGCAGAGGAGCTACTAAGGCACCCGTCTTAAAAGGAATTGCTTTGTCTAAGTTTCTTGATTTGGAAATACAATGGTCTGCAAGTGAGGATAAGTCTATAAACAGTGGACCTGATGATGAACAATCAGTGCAGAATAAAAACCCTCTGAATCTAGGCGGAATTAATCTTGATGATTTTTTCATTGAGGGGAGAGGAGATCTTTCCAAAGTGGAGCCAGCAGAGATCAAACCTGTGGAAGATGATGATGATTTTAAGGATCCACGTAGTCTTAGCTTATTTGATAGTGTAAAGAGTGAGGGAGTTGTTGGATCTCAACAGCATGAAAATTTTGGTTTGTTTGACAAAAAAGATGCACATAAGAGTGTTTCTTCTGGGGAACATGAGAATCTTAGTTTGTTTGCGGGACGAGATGCGCAGGAAAGTGTTTCCTTAGCAGAGCAGGGAAACTTTGGGTTCTTTGAGGAAAAAGATGGTCAGAACTCTTTCAAAGAGAATGAAAACCTTAGTTTGTTTGAGGGTAAAGTTGCTCAGAAAACTAGTTCTTCTAAAGAGGATGAAAGTTTTGGTTTGTTTGAGGGTAAAGATACTCAGAGAAATAGTTCTTCCAAAGAGGATGAAAGTCCTGGTTTGTTTATGGGGAAAGATGCTCAGAGAACTAGTTCTTCTAAAGACGATGAAAGTTTTGGTATGTTTGAAGGTAAAGAAGATGCTCAGAGAAATAGTTCTTCTAAAGAGGATGAAAATTTTGGTTTGTTTGAGGGTGCACCATCATCAACTGCTGACCTTAAGTCTTTTGATGACAAGATCGTTGCCACTTCTTCTGATTGGGATTCTGACTTTCAATCTGCTGATCATAATCCTTCTCAGAAAAAGGTTGGTGGTGACCCGTTTGTAAGTTCTCCAGTTGATTTGGCTGCTCATATGGATTCTGTCTTTGGTTCCGGAAAAGATTTACTCTATGCAAAACCTGGTGATTGGTTGCAAGATGATTTATTTGGTAATGTCACTGGTGAGGCCCAAAACAGCGACTCAGCTGTCCATGATAAGAATGAGGGACAGGTTGTGGGCGGCAATGGAAGTTCATCCATGGATATTGATTGGATCGGAGATGATCTATGGCAAACCAATGAAAAGAAATCCATTGAGAAGACCCCCACAGATGTTAATGATGATGACGATGACTGGAATGATTTTGCAAGCTCGGCTAACTCCAAGACTCCTAATAATCCACTTTCTCAAACCATGGAAAGTTCTCAAGATGAATTTTTTTATGGACAGGCGCAAGTTAAGAATGGTGTTAAAGAACAGAGCGTAGATGAGAAGCAGAATACCGTGATGTCTGACATAGGCAAAGGTCAAGAAGATGATATCTTTGGGACTTGGGATAGTTTCACATCCTCAACCATTCCGCAGACCTCTGGTGAAAAATATCCGAAAATGAACTTGTTTGGGGAAAATAACAATCATAGAGACCTTGATTTTGATAGCATCTCACGTTCTGATTTCTTTTCTGAAAGTAGTGGCGGCAAAACCAACTCAGAGGAAGTCAAAGTCATACCTTCAGGAACCTCAACCTTAGACAGGTTTATTATTTCTAGTCAAACTCTTGTTCTCTAAACTCTCTAAATAACCTTCATTTCATACTTACAAGGAGCTTTAGTAACATCTTCCGGATTTTTTGGTTTTTTCGCTTTTGATTTCAGAACGAGTGACCCTGATGGTAGTAAAGATCAAACAGTTGATCTTGTTGTAGGCACAACGACAACAGCTCCCAAGTCAAAGAGTGATGTAGCGGAGGAGCTGATGTCACAGATGCATGATCTCTCGTTTATGCTCGAGACCAAACTTTCTGTGCCTCCAATCTCCAAGACAGAGTAATATTTATCACATTGTACTCTCCATCTCTCTTGCGGTCTCTTGTTTTTACTGGGGCTTGGAGATTGCTTGTTTTCACGTATATATATTTCATTTTTAATAACTTCAAGGATCCAATTTTACTTGCTCTGTAGCCACATGTGGTTGTTAGTCTAGTGGTGTTGTTCGTTCGGTTACTTCCATTGATCCTGGCCACTTGTGTACACTTACATAACAACTGAGAGAAGTTCTTTCGATTTCAGCTCAATCTCTGGTTATTAAAAGAACTTGGTTGCTCTGTTTCTCTAATTAAGCTTTTAAATTTCTACCAAGGACCAATCCATGTTTTTCATCTTTTCGATAACCAAGATGTTCGTTTTTGGTCATAGGTCCATAATCTCTTTGTAAAAATAATGACATCGAATAAGTAACATTACTATATATATATATTAAATATATAATGCATTTTTAACGGAAATGTAGCATTGAAACATTAAAACATAAGAATGGACGGTGTTTTTTCTTCTAAAAAATATAAATTTAGGTTGTGTAATGTATATAAGCATGACACAACACAAGTGATTTGCTTGTTTTAGGGGAAACCACTTAATTTGATTATTGCAAGGTTAGTAACTTAGAAGCCACGCATCAAATTATGTTTCTAAAACTAATTAGTTTCCCATCATTCTTTGTTTCTGATCCTCAAATCTCTTTTGTTTTGTTGTACCTCAAAAATTACAACCGTAAATAAGGTGGTAATATTTTTTTATTTATTTACACAATTGTTATTGCTTAGAAATTACCACTAAACCACCAAATGAATTAGTGTGATTTGTGAGGAGTATATGTATATGATTGTAACTTTATCAGTTTGATTTTTTTGTTTGGTTCCGTTTTTCAACTTCTCCAAACAACACTTTATAATAAATATTCACTCATATGCTTTTTAAATATGTATTTTTGATTTTTGTAAAAGTTTGCTATACATATGTAATCATATGAAATGATTCGTTTGGGATTTCACTGGCTGGAGTGTATTATTTAGTGGATAATTCACAACCTCAAAATGTAGACTGACAATGTTTTTGCCACGTTGGGTTTTAAGCGCAATCGATGAGTGATGTTGTAATGTAGTAAATTCTTCGTATAATCATATGTAAACCCCCACCAAAGAAAAAATATCATTTAACGTCCTATAACTGAAAATTCTGACAGAAAAACCACTTGTGTTGTACAATGAATATATGTACTACATTACAATAAATCAATACATTTTCCATGTCAACCTCCAAACTCGAACATAAATAAATTTCAGTTTGGTAAACAGAAACCATCTCATCTTATCACGCTCGAGCCACATTGCCATAAATGGAATTGAATCATCTTTTGTGCAAGTTGTATAAACTCTTAATTAGTTCACATTTATATGTACGTAGCTGGCTATGTTAAAAACAAAAAAATTTCTCTAAAACGACAACTATTCGAAAACGGAGGGAGTAAATATTAATTTAGGTTGTGTAATGTATATAAGCATGACACACAACACAAGTGATTTGCTTGTTTTGGGGGAAACCACTTAATTTGATTATTGCAAGGTTAGTAACTTACAAGCCACGCATCAAATTATGTTTCTAAAACTAATTAGTTTCCCACTATTATTTGTTTCATCCTCAAATCTCTTTTGTTTTGTTGTACCTCAATAATTACAACCGTATAACTACTTAAATAAGGTGGTAATATATATTTTTTTTATTTACACAATTGTTATTGCTAAGATATTACTACTAAAACACCAAATGAATTAGTGTGATTTGTGAGGTGTATACGTATATGATTGTAACTTTATCAGTTTGATTATTTTGTTTGGTTCCGTTTTTCAACTTCTCCAAACAAAACTTTTCAATAAATATTCACTCATATATACTTTTGAAATATGAATTTTTGATTTTTGTAGAAGTTTGATATATATATATATATATATATATATATATATATATATATGTAAATTGTAATCATATGAAATGATTCGTTTGGGATTTCACTGGCTGGGGCGTATTATTTAGTGGATAATTCACAACCTCAAAATGTCGACTGACAATTTTTGCCACATTGGGTTTTAAGTGCAATCGATGACTGATGTTGTAATGTAGTAAATTCTTCGTATGTAAACCCCCACCAAACAAAAAATATCATTTAACGTCCTATAACTGAAAATTCTGACAGATAAAAAACACTTGTTGTGAACAGTTAACTTTTTGTTTTTTTGTACAATGAATAGTTATGTACTAGTACTACAATAGTACATTACAATAAATCAATGCATTTTCCATGTCAACCTCCAAACTCGAAGCTAAATAAATTTCAGTTTGGTAAACAGAAACCATCTCATCTTATCACGCTCGAGCCACATTGCCATAAATGGAATTGAAACATCTTTGTGCAAGTTGTATAAACTCTTAATTAGTTCACATTTATATATATGTACGTAGTTAGCTATGTTCCAGCTATTTGTTTCTTTAATTTTAATAATATTTTCAAATCTGGTATTCGTCATTTGTCATGTTATCACGTACAGTACTTAAAACAGTACTTGATGATACTCAATTGCAAATCCGTATTCAGATTTTATATCTCAAGTGATCGATTGAGTTATATCAATCTTTTTGTGGCTTTCTTGCAAAAGCGGGGTATATATAATTAAGGTTATCGTTTCTATTATGTTTATTGTTGACCTTATTTGTTTCATAAGTCTGAAATCAATAAACCATTAGTAGTGGCCAATTGGCCATTTACTAAGCGAAATATAACAAAAGATTCATCTACGTACTAAATTGCACAAGACTGATTGAAATAAAAATTCTTCTAAGATAAGTTGTTCTTTTTTCGACCTATATAAGAGAGAATATATAAGTTACTTATGTTATACTCTTTGATATTGACATCTAAAGTTTGTCCTTTGAAGCAACAAAAACGCTCTATTTAATTTGCCTTTACCGTGCGTAACAGACTTCGTCTTTGAATTATACTAGATTTTACCCCACGGTACACCGCGGGTCGATTTTTTAACTAAAAAATTAAATTTTAAATTGTATTTTTTGATATTGTTTATTTTGTTAAGTGTTTAAGATTGTATAATTTTATTTTGATTGTTAATTTTAAGATTTCATCCGTGATATTAATACAGTTCCGTATTAATATCGATCCAAACCCGTCCCACTATATAACTCCGTCCCGTGAAATTAAACATCATTTTGTTATTTTTAATAATATTTTATTTAATAGACATATAATTCGAGTCAATTTAAAAGTTTGATTATATATATATATATATATATATATATATATATATTTTATTTAATAATAATTAATTTATATAATGATTTCTGAATTAATTGTGTATGACCGACGGTCAAGATTGAAGATTAAAAACCGGATTAAGATTTGAATGACCACGATTAAATGTAGGAATTGTTGAGATCTTTTAAGGAAATCGAATTGAATATAAATGTAATTGTGGCAATGATTAGTTATGCTTAATATATTAGGTTAAGATTTTTGGAAATAATTTTTTATGTTAGTATCTTTGATTTAATTTTGAAAATCTAAATAATTAATGTCAATGGCATTTGATCGTAAATAAGTTGGAATTCCAGGATTTATTTCATAGATGTCTCCAAAAAATGTATATATAGATATTATATACTAATTTCTGGTTGACACAAATTAAAAATGTGCTATTACATAAAGTAATATAAAGTTAGTTATGATTAGATCTAATTAAGCATAATGAAATGAAATTTAAATAGTAATGCGTATAATCAGAGGCTTACGTAGAGAAAATGACTTGAATTATCGTAATGGTAGGTGTTGGTAAACAACGGTGAATGAACTAACTTACCAAGCTGGTCTACGGCCAGAACTTGATAGTTACAAATGATATAGTTAAAAGTAGCTATCATGGTGTTTGTGACAAAACTTTTTTTCTTATGCAAATGTAATTCAAACAATTTGAATTGAGTAGGTTGTTGCTTGAAGTAGGCGTTCCTCATTATACGAATCTTTTACATTTCTCTTTGTTTTCATGCCACGTGTTATTTCTACCACTCACACGCCACAAGAACATTCTTGACAAAGCTTATCAAACAACTTAGGAACATATTTCTATTCTGTCCAACACTAAAAAAAAGGTTCTAAGAAAATATAGCAGTATTTTCACAAAAAAAAAAAATATATATATATATATATATATATATAGCAGTAAATGAAAATTTCACCAATACAAGAAGTTTCTTAATTAGCACATTTTTGTTCATCTGTTTTATGTTTAGTTTTATAATTATAGCATTACAATTAATATTTGAATTTTATAAACTTATGTATATCAAAAGCACGTGAATGTGCAAGTTATTTTGCATGTGGTTAATAATAAAGGGGACATGTGCGTATGAGCTGTGAATGTGCGTATATGGCAGTGGACAGCCGTAAATGTCTGACCAAAATCGTTTTCCTTATCTTTTTACCCAACAGTACTGCCTATGGTAATCTCATCTTGTCGCTTTTTCATACAAGATTACGTCTATTTATCTAAAGTTTATTTATACTATAATTGTAACGATTTAAATTTTGAGAAATCTTTCTAATTAAACATTGCTACGTCATTCTTATGTTTTAACTATCTTTGTCGAAAACTTATGAGATTTTTTTTATTGTTTATCAATTAGTACTAATATCACCATTAAGTACTAAACAACAGTTTTTCTTAAATACCTCTCAACGTGATAAATTCAACAAAATCGGATCTTCACAGTTCACACCTAGTTTATCATTATAATTAACGGTGGGCGATTACATTTTGAGGTGTTTAAAGAAAAAAGGGAAAAAATAACAAAAATTTTAGAGACCCGTGGTTTCTATACATTTTAATTTTTAATTTGCTATAAGTTATAGCCATGAATACTAATCAGATTTGATGATGATGGTTGTTAAACCCACCGCTCCTCCTAGTCAAACATCTTCTACAATTTCCCAACACATTCAAAAACGCATTATGTGTTTACCATTCTCAAAAAATGTAAAACCAGACAAATGTTACAAGAAATGTACAAAGCTCCAAGTTTGAAGAACATGAATGTGATCCAAATCTACCAAATTTCTTTTCCACATTTCCGTACTTCCACTTTCCATATATATTTGTTTTTCACCTAACTCTTACGAACTTAAAATAAAAAAATACAAAACTATTGAGGAAAAAGAGAGAAAGATTTGAGC